GATTATGAAACCCTCTTCCCTCAGAGGAGACACGGGGTGAAAGGGCAGCCTCGATGGGATAATATAATTGCTGAGGTCAATCAGAAACACAAGAGTGCACCTGCACTCTTGGGTCCTGAGATGAGTGTGGACGGTCCATTGGAGCATACACCAAGTCCTAGGTCTTCTGTTTCACTGGAGACTCCTAACATGAGGCTTTCCCAAGCTAAACCTCAGGAGACCAAACCTGTGTCAACAAAAAAAGCACCAGCCCCGACTCCTCCTAAACCAGTGACATCTCCACTTCCACGATCAGCAGCAGATTCCAGTCAGAAACAAAGCCCGAGTGTTTCTCAACAGTCTTCAGTGACACGTAGTCAACCTGCATCCCCAGCATCAGTAATATCGGACACTTCAAGCAGAGTTACGTCAGGAGATGGTGCAAGAAAGGTGCTGCAACCTTCACCCACACCTTCACCCAGAACACCAAGCCAGATGGACTTGAATACACCACCTTCAAGTGATCAAAGCAAAGAACAGGCCACCATGAACAAAGAAGCACCCACAGCTAAACCCAGACAAAGGGTCAGTGTCAACGAGCTAACAAAGGAACCACAATCTGCTGTGAACGGTAACATCCCAAAAGTATCTAATTCAAGTATGAGCAGCACGGACAAAAAGTTAAAAGACGGCTTTGCAGAGGAGGACCCATTCCCCAGTACTCAGCTTCTTTCCAGAGACCCATGGACGCTGCAGAAGGAAAACGGTGATTCACTTTTTACTGGCGATGCTAGTAGGAAGGAGGCGACACCTCGAGATTGGGGAATGACAGCAAGTGACTTTGATAAAGTTTTTGGTCAAGAAAAAACACCAGATCCTTTCACCAGTTTTAATGGCAGTGATCTGAAGAAACAGAGTGAATACAGGAAAACGGATGATGAGTCAAAACTAGACAGTCCTGCTTTCCAAAGAAAGAATTCACAAAAAGGAAAGAAGAGCCTTCCATCCACAACTCCCACACAGCAGATAATACCCACTGCCACTCAAGGTTTCAGAGATATCCCACTGCTGCTTCCCAATGATGGGAAAACACAGAGCAGTTTCAGTGAAGGAGAGGATCTTTTTGGAGACCGATCTTTTTTTCAAGCTTCAGAGCCCCTTCAAGTAGTTATGGAGGAACCAGAAATCTTGTCTGGGGGGAAGGAAACTTTGCGAGCGATGGTGTCACCATCTGAGGTTCAGCCTGTCAGTACTCAGAATAGCAATGGAAGCGGGCTAGCGATAAATTCACGCAGGTGAGATTGACCAGGCTATTTTCAGAGTTAGCCTTTGATGAGGGTTGAGCTTGATTCAGTTATGGTGGATCACACGTGGTGCTGTTATACTGGGAGGCGAATAAGTCGCTGGGATTTATCTTGTGGTGTGGCTGTTTTCCAGGCTGTGATTTCTTGGAAACTTTCCTCACACTTGATTTCAATCTGAATGTTGAATATTGCACTTCAAATGCACTTTGAATACGATAGAAATGATTATGGAAGATGATAAAACACATCATTTAATTGTTTTTCTCCTACACAAAATATTTCTTAATCATTTTCTGTGGGGTTTCTGTACCTCTTCTTCTATTTACTTAGTAAACTATCAGGCCTTACAGTAACGTAATGCCTTTATTTACAGGCCTCATCCCGTGAAGCCTATGAGCACATCAGAGAGCCAGAGCGTCCACGCTATGAAAGAGATAAAGGTCCGGGACAGCACACCAGCGAAGATAAAGGTACTGTCATACTGGTATAATGTACTGGCACGTAAACACCGTTAACCTGACCGGCTTTTGCTGCAGGAACAATTCGTGCCTGGATAACCTAAAATCTCTTTTCCACTGTGCAACATGGTCTGCACTGTGCTCTTATTTACAAGGAGTAGCATGGAAAAAAATGCCAGGTGGTGCTATGAGACGATTGGATTTTACACATCTAAGATCGTCTGGCAGTCTGCTCTCAAAGTGCTTTTAGAAACTTTCTCAAAAGTTCTTCTTGTCTCTCTTTTCTTTAACTTGGCAGATGGTGATGATATTAATTATTTTGTCAGAAAAGTAATGGAACTTTTATATTCCAATTTCTTTGATTTGTTTTTCTTTGTGTGCTTAAATGAATTCCTCAATATGTCCTAATTTAAAAAGCATTCACCAAATTATCTTTTTTTTCATTCAGATGATGGACTCTGTGGAAAGTGGACCGTACACTCAGCTGACTCAGGAGGAGCTGATCACAATGGTGGTGAAGCAGCAGGCTGACCTTACCAAGAAGGACGCCAAGATCGTTGAGCTTGAGGAATACATAGACAACCTGTTGGTCCGTGTCATTGAGGAGAAGCCGAGTATCCTGTATGCCCTCAATGCTGCCAAGCCAGTGTAAAGGAATGTAAACAGGACTTAATTCTGCTTCCTGTTTGTGTTTGTACTGTATTATAAGACAGTGTCTTAGAGCATATGCACTTTTTTAACTTTCAAACAAATAGATGCTGGAGTGTAAAAAGCAAGCAGAAAATCTTTATATTAAAAATAAGAAAAAAAAAAATGTTGTCCCGACACTAAGGTACTGCAACTTATTGCAAAATATACTAATCATTATAAATAATGAAAACTGGATTCAACTTTTATTTAATAAAGTAGTTTTTTTAAGTCTACACTGGGCAGTCTCTAAGTTTTGCTGTGTAGTGAATAATCACTGAAATCATTCATGTATGTTGTCTTCCTCCACTAAAGTCTTTATTTTTATTTTCTTTGCCTCATCTTTTTGAAAGCATGTATTCTTTTAACCACTTAACAGCAGTCATTATATTGTACTCACCACATATGAATGTCACCTGGATATCCAGTCCTTAAAGACACTGTGCCTATTGTTGCTTCAGAGAGGTCTTACATAGAAAACCAGCATCGACTAAAATAGAGCAGCTGCTATGTTCTCAGCAGATTTTGAATCGTATACCGAGTTAAGCAATTTTGTCTCCATTGTGCTCATAGTTCAAATATTATGCAAGTTATACTACAGTTTCCTGTTCTCCTTAAATTAATTAGAAACTTTGAGCACTATGATGTGTTTTGTTGTCTTTTGTGAAGTAATTTAAAAATCAAGATCAGAGTAAAAGACTTGTTTTAGTAAGTCGCCTTGTCTCTGTTTGATCTTCACTAATGATGCCTTTACAAACTAAAACTGTTTGATGATAGCATGGCAGTAATGATAGCAATATTAATCAGTATGTCTGTCCAGACTTGTGCCTTCCAGACCTTCTTTTCATGTATGATCTGTTGTTTTTCTGGAGTGAGAGCTCACTGCATGTACAGTCTGATCTATCCAGTGTTTGTAATATTACAGCTGATGTAAATGCCTGAAAACGCTGTGTTTATTTTCAAATAAAGACACTAATTATGCCTCTGGACTGTGCATGTGGTTGTTTACCACCATTGTGTGTTTGCAAGTAATATACAACACAACTAAATGAAATATTTACATAATAATTATTTAGCTCTCAGCGAAGGTTCTAATTGCACTAACAATTCCAGATGTTCGGTGTCTTCCAATTTCTGGCAGGTTTATTTTTATGCTTCTTATCTCCATACCTACGAGGATGAAAAAGCAATGTAGCCATGGTAACATACATAGCATGTTTTATTGTACACGCTGCCTGACTTTTATCCAGAACAATAACATTGCATTTGAGCGTGTTTACTTTTTCACAATATTCTCAGTCTTTTGCGTTGTTCTCGGCAGTTACAGCATTGTAAATGTAAATGGGTAGGAAGTGTACATATATTTCGAGCCTTTACAGTTTAAATGGCAGAAAATCACCTCAAGATGTAGCGATCAGAGTTCAGGCATATGGTAGCACTCAAACAATCAGCAGCTGTTGATAAATAATAAGCACTTGAACACGTACGAATTGCTGTGAATATGCCAAGTAAGAGTTGGGCACGTGGGGATTCAAAACAGACGGTGGAGAAAGCTGGGATGCCACGAAAGCTGAGGGCAAAGCCATCACGCGCAAAACTGGAGAATATATATATATTTATATGAAATATCTTCAAATGTATTTGCACGCCATTGCAAGCAATCATACTCACTTTTAAGGAACTGACTGTTATGACCCTAGATCACACGAACTGCAGCCAATTGAACTTTTCACATACGTGGCGCCCTCTAGAGGTGAAGCACTCTTATTAAGCATTAAGCGCTCTTAAATATGTTTCAAATCCTTCATAACTTATTGGAAACGTGATCTATTTGACATTATTTCATTAAAGACTTTAGATGTTCCTCACCCAGTACCAAGTCTAGTAACTTTACGTTTCATACTTTCCATTTTATTTACATATGATGCTGAACAACAATAATCTTATGTTTACAGCCTCTTCTCTTGCATGAATGATAAATAAATGAGTTGGGACTGAGCTCCTTAAAATTCATATCTATAATATTTGCATTTTACTGTATTTTTGTGAAGAGGACATGTTTTCATAAAATCCTAGATTTTAAAAAGATGCCAAAAGTAAATCTTACTCTTCTTCTTTTGGATGCTCCCTTTAGGGGTCGCCACAGCAGATCTCCCTCCATCTCATCCCCAGCATCCTCTGTCACGGTTGATCTGATCTTGTCTCTTTCCTCCTGTCTTACAGCTCCATCTTTAATAGCCTTTGTCCAATATATCCACCATCTCTTTTTTGCACATGTCAAACCCTCTCAAGCCCTCTCGAGCTTGTCTCTCTCTAACTCTGTCTGCTCATTTCTAATCCTGTCCCTCCTGGTAATTCTTTTCTTAGCATCTTCAATTCTACCACCAGCTCAGCCTCCTGTCTTTTTGTCACCAGCACGTCTTCAAACCACACATCATAGCAGGTCTCACTGCCATCTTGCAAACTTTCCTTTTCACTCTGAATGACTGAATGTAGTGTAAAGCGCTTTGGGGTCCTATGGACTAGAAAAGCGCTATACAAATGCAGGCCATTTACCATTTACCATTTATCCTTCTGTCACGAATCTTCCACCTGCTCCCTACTCTCACAATATTATCTGCAAGCATCACAGACACCACAGAGACTCCTCTGACCTGACCTCCTCTGCCAGACTGCCCATCACCAGTACAAACAAGAAGGGGCTCACACTTGATCCCTTATGTAATCTCACCCCCAAACTTGGAACCATTACTCCTATCTCACACCTCACCACTGTCTTGCTGTTCTCTTACATGTCCTGCACCACCCTCACATGCTTCTCTGCCACTCCTCATTCCATTATGCAGTACCACACCGCCTCTCTTGACACCTTTTCATATGCTTTCTCTAGATCCACAAAGACACAGTGCAACTCTATCTGACCCTCTCTACACTTCTCCAACAACACAAAGCAAACATCACATCTGTAGTGCTCTTTCTCTACATGAAGTCATGTTGCTGCTCACTTATCATCACCTTTTTTTCTCAGCCTAGCCTCAACCAGTCTTTCCCATCTCTTCATGGTGTGGCTCATGAGTTTTATTCCTCTACAGCTCTGCACATCACCCTTGTTCTTGAAAATCAGTACCAGTAAACTTATTTCCTGTTCCTAAAGCATCGTATTGTGTTAAACAATCCTGGAGAGTTTGAAAAGAGGAGTGATGGAGCATATCTCTGGATTGTAATGCTATATCTCTGTCTGATCAACAACACGGGGACATGTTTGACAGTATCCTACTAATTTAGTTTGTATATCATATGGATGCCGGCTAAGAGCTGGATCATCATACATTAGACTCCTACCCTATCCCATCTATGCCTAGGCTGCTCTAATTCTGACTGTTTTAAATATTATCACTGCTTTACCAAAATGAGATGAGTGTGGGTACCCAGTTTCAGCTTAAAACACAAAAGCTTCACAATACCACACTGGCTGTGGCGCAGTTGTTGGCTGAGATGCCAATGCGACGGCGGCACGTGAACATTTTGCGAAGCTCAGCTCGAAAGCGGTCGTGCAGCCAGGCGTAGAGGAAAGGGTTACAGCAGGATGAGCTCATTGCGCACAGATGGCAAAGCAGCTGAATGAGTAGAAAGTACTGCTTGTCGATCAGATCGATGTCAATGTCACGCAGGACATTGAACACGCTGATGGGCATCCAGCAGATGCCAAATGCCGCCACCACCAGGGACACCAGACGGAAGGTCTTGCGTTTGCGAACGCGCTGAGCCTCTGCCTGGCTCTCTGTGTGGTGGCCGGGTATGACGCAGTTCCGCAGTTTGACGGAGATGCACAGGTAAGAAATGCAGAGGGCCGACAGAGGCAGGACGTAGGTGATGAAGAGAGTGCTGTAGGCGTAGGCCAACCGCTGCCTCTCCTGGCCCATCCAGAACTCCTCACAGATGGTGAAGCCTTCATTTTTAAATTCCACGTGGTAGGTGTGAGCCACAGCCGGGGCCACCAGACAACAGGACAACAGCCAGATCCCAGACAGGAGGTAGGTGCACGCCAAGACCGAGATCCGCTTTTTCAAAGGGTGCACCGTGGCATAGTATCTGCGGAGTCCATGAGTAAAAAGGAGCAAAGGAAATGTGGATAGAAAATGATGGAATCAGTAATTGGCAGGGGCAAAGACAAACAACATTTACCAGTCAATATGAGCGACAGTAATCAGCGCACAAATTACCATATGCTGTTAAGGACAACGGATAATACAGGCTGAAAAATGGCAGCAGCACAACATCAATACTAAATTGTCTGTTACCAGGAAAGTAACATGTTTTAAGCTTCACAAATAATAAATCTAATTCAGCTCTGTCACTGCAACCAAGGTGAATGGATAAGCCTAGATGTGTGCTGGGTTACTGAAACAGACACACGAGTCCGACAGAGCTTCACTTAACAATAATGTCCTCATTCAGACAGACTTACATTTAGGTAGCACTAAACTGATTGAATTAGTGCAGAATATTTAGACTAGTAGAGTAGCTTCAAATGTCTTTCCTTATTTTCTGTCATATGTGCAACAACAGCAGATGTTGACAATAAATAAACAAGCTCAAAGCTCAAGCTTGGATCCCTCAGTTTTACACAGAGTTATATTCAGTTTTTCTACTCTTGCTCTGTAAGACATTAGTGAAAGTACAGTCATCGTAGGCAGACAGCTCTGTCTGTGAGCGCAGAAGCCCCGCCCACCTGCCTTTCAAATCTGGTGTTTAAGAGCCAGATCAGAAGTTCCACAGTTGCACCTCAATGTAGTCGTTTTTTGTGTTAGCTGTAAAATCAATAAAGATTGTTTTTCTCCTTGATTGTGAATACGACCCAGTTTTGAGGGCAGATGACTCAAAACGAATACAGGTTGAAACAAGGTGTGGTATAGGGTAATTAAGGATTATTTTGAACTGTGAATCATGGAGAGCTGCTTAAGAGCATGATAGGTCTACTTTACAAAGCAGTGAAGTTGTACATCAATAGTAGGTGATGCGCACTTTAGCTAAAACCAAATAATTTAATACTGTATTGCATTTAGGGAGATACCACTGTGTTCTTTGTAAGTTCTTGTCATGAATGACCTTCACCTGTTTTAGATTTGAGGGTCTGCCTTTTTGTCGCAGTGACCACCTGCTTGATTTAAAGTCTCAGGTTTTGGACTTTCACCCTTCTCTGGTGTTTCTGGTCCTCTGTCTTTTGAGCCATTATGCACATTCATGTCATGTTTGCACTTAAGAAAAAAAACAATCTTTGTTGGTTTTACAGATGACATAAAAACTCACCACATCAAGGTGAATTTGCATCTGAAGCCGGAAACTTGTTCACTAGGTCCTTCACACAGCAGCTAGACTGATGCGTGGTGTAGCATGGCAAGGTAGACACAGGTGTTATTGATAACAATCAGTTAGGGTGCCATGCTATTTAGTGTTTCACAGTCATTCAAGCAAACAAGCAAGTAGCAGGGGGTCCTGAACCATCAAAATAGTAATTACAATTACCGTTTATCCTGCCACTGCATGTCAAAACAGCGGCTGCTGAAAGTGTCTATTTTCTTTGAGACAACAGTCATTGTTAGGTGTTGTGTGCAAAATGAATGCTATATTTAGCTTTGTTTTTGAGGGATAACTAGAGCTGGTTTACAAACGCTTCATGATGAAAAGTTTTTTGTCCTTGTTTGTACATTGTTTCTCACAGACACAGCATGCTGCATGCCAGCGAGATGCTGGAGGTTTACTTACAGTTTTTCCCACTGCATTCTGACTCATTGTGACTTACCTGTCTACACCAATGGCAGTGAGGGTGAACACTGACACGTACACCGTCACCGGCTGTATGAGGTACACCAGGTAGCACATGAAGCGACCAAACACCCAACCGTGTGGGTTGAAGGCATAGGCCAGCGTGAAGGGGACACACGTAGCACACATCAGCATGTCAGAGAAAGCCAGGTTTCCAATGAAAAAGTTGGTGACGTTGTGCATCTTGCGAGTGCGGCAGATGACATAGAGGAGCAGGTAGTTGCCAAAGACGCCCACCAGAGCCACGAGGGTGTAGCAGGGAATGATAAGCGGCTTGAAGGACTGCAGCAGCTCCACGCCCGCAAACTGGGGGCTGCGCTTGGAGGAGCTGTTCTGCAGCGCCACCTCAAACACCTGACCAGAGTCGTTTCCATTTGCAGCTTGTGTCACACACGGAGGGGTGAGCTCAGCTGCCCACCCACTGCCCGAAACCTCCATCCTGAAAGGATGGTGTGAGCCTACAGAGATGACATCATAAACAGAGTCAAGTACAGTTCAACATGCACAGTGAAATGTCAAATTTGGCCAAGGGAGACATGTGCAAACAAGAACAGGCAAAGTGATTGAGAACGCTTTTCCTTTTATTACAGGCCTGCAGACAGGCTGAGCAGCTTCATGAGCCTTTGTCCAATTATTTTTCTTGTCCTTGAAGTAAATGATTTTTTTCCTCCTGTGTAGCTACAAAAAACAAAAAACCCACTATGCTGAAAGCAAATTCCTTTTATTAGACTACGGTGACAATTTACTGACTAACTACATGCAGAAACCAAAATGAACTGGGGTTATTACTTCAGTGTAACTCAGACGAGTAGGGCCTAGTCATTTCCCAGTCAGTTCCACAAAACTTCCATGCAAACACTCAATATCAAAGCAAATGCTGCTGGATGACTCACGCCATTATCTCCCCATGCACCATGTATGTGCAGTGTTTATGTGGTCAGCACAAGAGGTGTTGGTCCCTGTTAAATCAGTTCAGCATATATACTCAAGTGAGGGAATTTAAATGATTCATGCCAAAAAAAAAAACCCCAAAAAAACGCAGGATAATATAAGCACTATAATAAACTCACCCAGCAAGGACACATTTGGCCAAGACTGTGTAAGAAATTTATGTTGATGAAGAAAAAACCAGCAGTGGAGGCTGAATATTTGAACTGCCAGGAAATATTACAGGGGGAAAAATGGCCAGAAGGTGCAGTGTAAGGACGGCAGTCAATCACAATATCTCAAGTAACCAGTACACAACCCCACACTGTTGTGTCTCTAAGAAAGATTAAAAATTTGGGTTGGTCTTTCTCGATTTTAGAGAATTTGCCCGATATTTTTGCCTCTGTGCTTGCTTTTGTGATCCTTAGTTAATTGTTTATATATCTGAACACCGTAGATTGCAGCAATTTATGTCCTGAAGTTACGCCACACTGTGAACAGTGGACAGAGAAAACTCACATATGAGTCGCTGTTCATCAATGGACGAGAGTGAGAGTAAATGAATGTAACACGTTTGTCCACAGGAAAAATGTTACAGGAAAAATAGGTCAGAGATTTTTGGCACAAAGCTCGTTTCCTGCGCCAAAAAGACCCGATATTTCTTTTTTATTAGTTTGTTTTAACACTCCCGTATTCCTTATGCCAAGAAAAAAAGGAGAGAAAAATAATAATAACGCACGCTGGTACCAGTAGCGTGATCTCATACATTTTAAAGAACATATCACCATTTAAAAGCATTGGAAATATTTACAGTTTCAGGGTCAGCTCTGGAATACCTCGACGCAGATAAAGCGAGTGGACTGACAGCTATAAAACTGTCGGACATACCGATGACAAAACGCAAGTAATTAAAAATCCTCTAAATAACTTTCAAATGTCTCCAAGGAGAAAAAGCACGTTGCATCGTGCCTGCATCATTTCCGCTCTTCTCACACTCGACGTGCTGACTTTAGATGCAGTTAGACTTTGTCAATTTAAATTTGCACAACATTACAAGCCAAAGCAGCACACCTACCGTCTACAGATGTCTCAGTGTTCCAGCGCACGGAATATCCAGCTCGGAGCTTCTGTGCGTCTGTGGAGAGATGCGCGCTTCTCACACAAATCCACGCTTATAGGTTTACGGACACCAAGCACAGCCATGCATTCCGAATCCTTCATTAACGTGCACTGTAACAACTTCAGTTGTTTTAATTAATCAAGTGTGTGTGTGAGTGTGGGTGTGTGTGGTGATCAGCAGGTGCAGTCCGGCTGACTGGGGGAGGAAGTCTCGCTTATATATCTGCCCCAAACTTGAGTGACAGCTGTGATGACTGGACGGCGTTTCCGACGCGTCTCCTTGGAAGATGGTGTGGCCTGAAAAGCCCGAATAAAACCCTGCAGACTGTACACCTGATTTCAAAAGCAAGGACAGAGCAGGTGGTTAAAGAGACTTTGCAGCTCCATTCCTGCATGTTCTCCTGCTCCTGTAGTTTCAAGTTGCTGTGGCAGATTCTATAGCAAACATTCTCCACGGTATTTGTTGATCATTTCTATTAATGGATAATTTAAAAAATGAATAACGGTTTTATTTCCATACAATCTGTTGCATTAAGTCAAGAATGATTTATGCCCACGCCAAGACGGCTCAATATTCTGTGGAATAAGAGAAGGTTACTGCTATTATGGCGCTTGTGCTTGAACTATCCTCCTTTGTTATAAATATTTGTAAAAGGAACAGAGGGGCAGACTGATAAAGAGGTGGCGTAATGTGATGTCTCAGTTTTTCGTGGCCCTTGTGTGGAGAACAGTCAGAGGTGGAGGTTCTGCAAGCACGATGTTTGATTTGTGCAAACTAACTCTCGGGGGCAGAGGCGAAACGATCCGAGCTTTTTTGTTGTCATTAGCAAATTGATTGAGAATCAACAACCTGAAGCCAGCTGATCAGGGGGATCCTGGTGTGACGTCCACGGCAGATGCTGTGCTCAGTGTGTCTGGGGTTTCAAACCGTCCATTTAAAGCTAGAGAGTTTCGAGTGAGTGCGATCAATTCAGGTTAACTCTCCTCACTTTTCATTCTGCATGGAAAAATCACCATGCAGTTCCCACTCAGCCACCAGTGAGTAGTATCTGCAAAGTCAGCGTTAAGCTAGGATTTATCCTTGAGGGTCCTCAAAGTAGTCAAAACACAGCACTGAGGAATTGTGGAACTAAAGTGGAATCATCTTCAATTCTTGGTGGCATGGATTTAACAAGATGCTGGAAACATTCTTCACAGATTTGAAATAGTCAGCATCAGCACTCAGACAGGCTGTGACATTTAAACAATCCTCATTTGCTACAAAAGGGGCCCAAAGTGTGCCAAGAAAGCAGCAGCCTGAACTGTTGTTGAAGTCATTAACTGGCAAAGTACCACTGCAGGAAAATAACAAGTTGTTTTTTGGCCTTTAAAACTAAATAGGGGGGACAGGGGATAGTTGTAACATTTTTAACATTTCTGTCTGTAAATTGGAGCTCTTTTAAGGTAGTGGATTCAAAATGTAATGCAAAGTATTTACATGTCGTCGCTATTAAATAGTGCAGCTATTTTCTCTGCAGCACAATTACCCATTGCATGGTATGGTCTCAAACACAAAGAGTGAAATGTTACAATTAACCCCACAGTCTGGGTTAGTTGTAACATATCCTGGGGTAAAATGTAACACAATGAAATAAGGGTACTGACAAAACATTAACATGTAATCTTTTTTATTCAACACATGAATGCACTTAGAACCATTTATGTAGCTGTATGTGTGTGTGTGTGTGTGTGTGTGTGTGTGTGTGTGTGTGTGTGTGTGTGTGTGTGAGTGACAGAATGCAGAAATCAAGGTTTTGAACATATTCCAACCCCCCAAAAAAAGACAAATTATGGAATTTTCTGCAACTGAATATTTCATTAATTTTGGTTGGTCTTCCTTGAGTTTGGCCTCATTGGCTCAGTGGGCATTATAACCTACAACTCTTGCACCAACCTTTGAACATAACAATGAAGCTGAAAAAATGTAGTTGTGCACCAGCATCGCAATTCCATTACTTTTTATCATGGCTTACCTTGGTGTGGTTTGCAAAGTGCTTCAGAAAGATGAGGAAATCTGTTTCGTGCACTCATCCTGATTTATTTCCACTACCAGTACTTCCTACTGGTCCATCTCTGACACAGTGGTCTGCATAATGTATGTGTTGGAACACAAACAGTGGAGGAATTGTGTTGCCAATGGCATTAACCACATATACAAATGCGACCAGTGAACCTCTCTCTGCTGATGTCGTTGCCCCAACTTGTTTAATATAAGTTAAAGTAATAGTGTGGTTAGTTGTAACATCTGCGTTATTGTTACAACTAACCCAGACTGTTGCTGTTACAACTGACCCAGACTCCTATCCATGAACTAGCTAACATTACAGCCAACGGCTAAAACATTAGCACTAAAGACCTACACAGAATATATCCCCAACATAATTTAAGTTTGATGAGTTTAACTGCAAAGCAGATAATGCTATTAGAAATTGAAATAAAGTAGAAATACTTACTTTTTGGCATACAAATTACTTTTTTTTTCATGTTAAATTGTCTGTGTTTGACAAAATGTGCTAATTTTTCACATGTGATAGCAGAACTGAATTGGGCATGTACAGGATGAATCACATCATTTGAAACTTAGCCCTGATTGGAGAAATTGGAAGTGTTACAACTGACCCACGTTACAACTATCCCCGGTCTCTCCTACCTCTTTAGGAAACTATAGGGCAGCCTTTTTTTTGGTTCGGGATAGGAAAATACTATAAGCTAAAGGAGAATATTGCAGCCATCTTTGCCATCGTTTAACAATAACGGAGACTTTCAGAGCTGTTCAGACTGAACACTGCTTTAGTTTGATCATGTCAGATTCTAACACTTGCCTGGATTTATTAAAAGGCTTTACTGTGTCTTTTCATTGAATCAATAATGAACAGATGCTGTTTAGTCAAGCGCTATAGAGTGCACCATCCCAGAAGATTGTTTCTTGTGAGAGAAGAACAACTTAACATGCATGAATTTCTTTTCTTTCTTTAATTTTTTTTCTGTCATATACTAAAACTTGCTGATGAGTGACAACCATGTGACCTTTTTTGCACTAGCAGGAATGAACAGCATTAGAATCTGTCACTGTGTTCTGAGCTTCATGGGGACTGTGTAATTTTTAGACTACTTGTCTCCACGGCCACTGCCGGTGTGAAGAAATCAAAACTTCAGACCCTGAGCAATGAATAAGAAGAAGGTATGATGAGTCACTGTGGTGTTTCACCTACCTGCAGAATTATCAAATACTTCAACCTTCAAGTTCTTTGAAGGCTGAAGGACATTTGAAATGCAATTGCAGTTTGCATGCACTCATCATGGGCACGAATGTGATGGTAATTTGGGGCTTTTACGGATTTCTGTTCATTTTCCAGGTTGGAATGATTGTTCAGTAGACATCTTTAATGAATTTATTTTGGATTTTTACTTTTGACCCTGTGCGGGTCAAAAGTTTACATACAGGCTCAAATTTATACAGACATCACCACTAACGTAGTTAAATGTCTTTTGGCAAGTTGCACCTCGCCCAGGCATTTTTGGAAGTCAACAAAATTCTAGTATAATTCTGGCTTGTTGGCAGAATTAATAGAGTCCATGTAAACTGGCTGGTTTCCTGGCACACACCTGGCTTTTAAGTATAGTCCACAAATCTTCAGTAGAGTCGAGGTTGGGGCTTTGGAGAGGCAATTCCAGACACTAAATTGTCTTAATGGGTTTTATAAACAGCTTCCCAGATCCTCGGTTTAAACAATTGCACTTAACTGCAGTTTATTCAGATTTGACATCATTTGGCCAAAGTTTGGAAAACACAAAACAAATTGTCACCCTGAAATAAGAAGAAATTGGTTAGGATGTTCAGGAACACCCGGGAACCACCAAGGCGCAAGCCAGCCACTAACCGGAAACTGCTGGAACACCGATGTCACTGTCCACAGTGAAGTGAGATAAAGCACGCACAAAAATAACGTTTCTGGAATAGCTCAACCCTTTTGAGAATTTGTGGACTATGCTTAAAGGCTTATATTAAACAATACAATTTCACAAATACCAGCTTGAAACTTAATTAATAATAAACTTTGAAAGAAAATGATAGCATCTGGCACCTGGCAGCTTTCATCTTAGATGAATCTAGTTCATAGGCAGTGGTTTTTGTCTGTGAATTAAGGTGATCTGACCTCAGTGAGTTTCAGTTGTCTTATGCAAGCAGGCTGCATGATGAGTGTTTTTTACTGATAGACTCACTGATGCAGACACAATGAGGCTTTTACAGATCAGGTCACAACTAAACAGTAACACATGAGTCGGTGCTCAGTGATGATGTTTTTTAATTTACTGCAGCCCATTGAATGTTTTAGAGCGACACTGTTAAAATATTTCTGATAACATGCTAAAAACCTCCAGTTCACCTTTACAAATATCATCGTCTGACATTTCCTGATTTTAAAAAGCACCCAAATTAGATAATAATAAATATATAATGAACTGAAGAATACCAAAATTGAAAAGAAGCAAAAAGAGCAGGAAGGAAAACTAGAACAAGATGCATGACAAAACTAAACTTTAAAAAGCACAACAACAAAGTAGCAAACTACCGTACATGAAAGCAGAGACAGAGGAACACGAGCACAGAAGGCACAAGAAAATCAAGATGCTGAAAGCACTAAGAACACAACAAAACGAGCAAAACAACAGGACCATGACCAAAGTCCTCGGTTAAATTCTATAATTTGGACACTGGAGGTGTTAACAAATGCTTTTTCAGATAAACGATGAGGCTGTATTAGTAGTTACGCACTGATATGCATTAGTATGCACAGCAATTGAGTTTCAAACAACTCCTCTGCAAAATCAGGAGACTGATCTTTGTTTTTATCACCAACTTTTTTGACTCTTTGGAGTCACCTGTCTTTAAACAGGCCATACCCCCATCGTTACCTTTAAAAAATGATGTCAACTAATGCCAAGATTTTAAATGCTCACAATCTGCAGTTCATGGCTGTATTCACAATTTTTACTGTCAGGGACAATCACACATTTCAGATAATTTCTGTGTGATTCATTCTCCACTTGAAATTATTATTATTACTGCTTGACAGTTTGACAGTAACTGTCAGGCATTTATGTTTCAATTGTGTTTTGCTCTGGTTTTGTTTGATTTTGTTCATATTTGTTCAGTGTTCATGGGTCATAACTGATCAGTGATCATCCATACGTACACATTCAAGTGGACCTGAAGACCAGGTCAGCTGAAATTATTTAACCTGGAGGTCATGAAAGACTCTCCTGGGTCTGCTCAGTGATGACTTAAAGTTACTACTAATACAAAAGTCCAAGACTTTTCTATTTGACATGATTATCTTCACTAGATAATGGCAATTTTCTCTGTTTTATGTCTCACCCAGAGAAACCCACAAGGATAATAATCAGTGTAATGTGCCAGCTCAGTAATCAGGCTTATCCTGGTGCAACAATATTGTTTGATAATACATATCAGGCCCATAATGAGTTCCTTTTGTAATACAAATGAACTGCACGTGTCTATAAAACAAAGCACAAACAGTGTAAGAGGGATTTACAGATGAATTTTTATATATAAATCTCCACTGTGACTCTGAATTGGATAAGGAAAAGATGGATGGTTGGATGAATCTGCATTCATAAATCACTTTGCAAACCTTTCATAAAGGTTGTCTTTCTATAAAGAAGCACCAATTAATGTTTTTTACTCTCTTAGACAAAAGGCAGGGCTGTCCAGAACAAACAATTAATAAATCCTGAAGTTCCACCTGTTAAAAACCTGAGTGATTTCTATTAAAAATTAGATGGAAGGAAAAAATACCTTCTTCTGTTTACTCTGTGCAACTGTCAGATTTACAGTAATGCTCTTTATTCAGGATTGTCTGGATAACTGCAAGCATACTATAACGATGCCTGTAACCTATTACTAACAAAAACCTGAAACCCCTGATAGGAGTAAATATCTGCAACACTGTGTACATGCAAAAATGGTCAGATACAACTCAAAGAGGTCTAGATAGGATGTAATGGCTCAGACTCTGTGATGGTGGTGCATGTTGATTATCCTCGCTGTTCTCTCAGGGTCACCGAAATGAAAAGAGCTAGCACACTGCCTCCATTAAATACCTTGTTGTAACCTGTTACTCAGAACTGAACAACACGCACAATAATGGCATATCTCACAAATGAAAATAGGGCCCCTGAGGATATAAAGTTAGTTGGATAAAAGCCATGTGTTTTCCTAAAAAAAGAGAAAAGAAAGAAAGAAAAAAAGACATGTTTTTCATAACCAAAGAAGAAAATACCACTCATTTCTAAGTGGAAATGTTTCTTAATTGAAGAAAAAGGAGATGCTTAAAAAAAAATCGAACCATGCCAGGTAGAGGACCCGAATGATCCAACATAAACACAGACACAATACAGAAAAATTCTCTTACCTGTAGCATTGAGAAAAGTAGTTGATATTTTACATTTCAATTTCACAAATGACAACAGCGCTTCTCAGAACACGATGTTAGTTGGATAAAAGCTCCTCATTTGTCTAATCTTATCTTTCTTGTTAGCAGTCGGATATCAATTCAGTTCTTAATCGCGCAGTCGTGTCCTGAGAGCAGTGGCCAAACAACCTTCAAGGTTGTTTATGGAAATATGGTGCACAATGGTACATCAGAACCTATTGAGTGAAGTGCAGATGCTTGTCACAGCAGTCAGGGTTGTTCAGCCTTGGTGAATAATAAAGGCAGCTGAAATCTGCTGAGTCTACAGCATGTTTATCAGCACAATTCAGAGTATTTTGTCTGAATGATGTTCACAGTAGCTGCAGTGAATTCACGAAGCAGGAGTGCTTTCAGTAAATATGAAAGGTTAACCGTTAATCCACAAGCTCTCAATTAAGCCCTGCTGAGTGACTGGTGATCATATTATAGAACATAGTGTTGTTACTTACAGCATAAATTAAGCCACAGTAAAACATTGTACCATGTATGTTATAAAAACTAGAGTTTATAGATAAGTTAAAAGACCTTAAAAGAGATCTTAATTGTCCTTTATTAAAAAAAAAAGCAACCAAAAATGTATGTTTGGGTGAAAAAAAGTGCTACAACAATTCAACTGTAAGTCACATATGATACCAAAATGATGGTCTTACAGCATAAGAATTACTTAATTGATTAGAATTATAGAGGCACTTTAATGTTATGGGGAAAACACTTCTGTGCTAACACAATAATAATTTCATTTTTAAGGATATGATAACATAATGAATGCCCATCTTGAAAAATTAGGTCTAAGGATGTGACATTATGACAGTTCGGGGATTTAGTGGGATATAGACTCGCACCACTACACATGCTTGAAGTTCATAAATAGATAAATATTCATAATTACCATTATGTTTAGTACCACTGTTGATACTGACAACTATAATGTAGCGAATGTTGCCAGACCATCTAGAATTTATTGTCTAGGGACTAAGTCTACATTGGAATTTGGGATCCTGGACAGATAAAAGTACAATCTCCAGTTATTTGTAAATAAAAAATGCCCTGGGGGAGAAGAAAAAAGGAAGAAGGAGAAAACAAAGTTGGTAAAACAGGGAGGGGGGTGTCAGGAAAGTTTCAAGCTGACTTAATTATTCACAAGGGGTCAAGCCTGCAGGTTGTTGTATGTTGCTGCGTGTTTGATTTGGCAGATTTACTTTATATCAGATGATCTTCCTGACACAGACCTGAAGGGAATTATGTGTCACCCAAGGCTTCAACTGGAGATCTTTCACTTTATGATTTTTGATTTTTAAACCCTAGCTCCAGCTCCCATGTTGCAGTATGATAAATATTTGTAAAATATCCTACCTTTTTATGCAGATGATACGCAGTAATATTTTCCTCTGATGATCAAAACCCCTGTTCACAAATTAATAAGCAGCATTGATTGACTGCTGGATATCTAGAAGCCTTTTAGAACTGGACAGAGACAAGGACATAGTCCAAAAAGTCTGCAAAAGTAAATTTGTTCATACTTACTATTCCTTCATCTGAAAACAGTGGATAAGGCAGGAAACCTGGCATTTTGTTTGACAAATTAATAAAGTCAACAAGCAAAGTAATCCTGTCCTTAGACAGCACAGCTTCTCATCTGCAATGAATATATGTATCCATCCTTCACATTATTGCCATCTTGTGGCCATGCTGTCGCTGAAAGCTGTGCTTGTTTCAATCTCACAGAAAACTGCAGCTATTTTGAGGGCGTGGCCATGTGCTGTTAACTAGTGGTGTGGGATACTGCATATTTTGGTATCGATCCGATACCAAGTAAATACGAGTCAGTGTCGCTGATACCGATACTTTTCAATAAACAAGCTGGATGCGTCATTGAACTGCTAAATCTCAATTAATTTTCATGACCTTAAGTGTTTTTGTGATGTTTCCTTTTTCAATATTAGCATTATTATTACTATGGCTGGCAGCGGGAGAGCTGCAGCCGTTGAATGTGGTGTTACAGCAACTGTGTGACTATTGTAAGAATAAATGATGCTGCGATGCATGAAAATGCCATCGGGTCTGCCGTGGTGGTTTACAGTTATCAATTTTTTATTTATTTATTTTTTAGAAAAATCTTTTTAAAAAAACCCCAGTAAACTAATTAAAACAAACAAGTACTGTTGAGAAACCATAATACAAAAGTTATAATTAAAATTCTCAACAGCAAAAACAACTGGTGAAAATATAATTGATATGTAAACAACTTAACAACCCCCAAAGTGTCTAAATCACGTCAGGTGACGGCATAACATCTAAACACGGGGGGGGGGAGTGTGCCTAAACTGCAGGTATATGAATGTAAACTAATGGGAGATCAGCATGTGAGGCAAGCTGCTGCCAGTCTTATTTGACTGCTCTGGGATCAGTTACAATCTACGCTTCATACAGAAACACAGCTAGCATTAGCAAGTAAAACATCTTCAGTGATTCAGCATCGTTAGCTCTTGCTAACCACCTTGGCCAACAACAACTAACAATTTCTTTAGTACATTAGCACGGAAACCATGATGGGGAGAACAGCTCGGATCCTTTTCGGTCTAATAAAACTGATTAAAACAGTACATCTGTAACTTGCTCAGTGTCTATAATCCAATTAGACCTCTCAGGTCATCAGATGCACATCTTTTAACTATCCCAGAATTAGATCTCAGTGTGCTGAGGATGCTTAAAGTTGCTGTGTTCCTGTTCTTTGGAACGAGCTGTCTGCTGATCTGAGGTCAATGACAACCGTCTCACAGGTCTGTGTGTCAGCATTGATTTGTATTTCTCTGTAACATTTTATTATTATTGCCTTTACGTCATTGTAGACCTACGCAGGTTTTTAAGTGTACATGTAAAAACCTTTTAAACGTACATAAATAAAAGTGACACTGACATTGACGCTACACTATGGAGCCACTACTAAACAAAAAAAAAACATAATGATGACAAAAATGATCACCAGATTTTGTGTGATCTATTCTGTGGATTCACCCATTCAAGCACAGAAACATACAAAACCTGCTCAAACTAACGATACCTACACTGTATAATGGGGTTGTGTAAATTTTACCTCTTGGCCACATGTGATATGTACGCCTCAAATGGTGATGATGAGTTTCTGAGTGACTTAATTTATCAAAGAGTGCATTTTATCAAAAGTAAATCGATATATTTCATATTACCTGACTTATGATAATTGTAAAACTATGTTGGTTCTGTGCACCAGTGTATTCACATTTACCTTTGTCATGCAACTATTAAGTAAGTAAGTAAGTAAGTAAGGCAATATTAGCCAAATTGTATGAGCTTGAGCTCCTAATATGTGTGAGAACAATTTTTTAAAGCCAAAAATCACAAATTATGATGGGGCACCATTAGGGTCCAAGGTTAGCAGTACATTGACTTTGAGGGTTAACAAAAATTTTATTTATCAATAACATTAGGTAAACACTTCATATCCAGACACTTTCATAATCATGTTCAGTTGAGAAGGCTATAAATCTAATATTTTTTCATTAAAGATGAACTGCTGCCAGCTGTCAGCTAGTAATTATGATTGAACTAAAGGCAAAAAGCTACCCTAGAAGTTCAAAACACACAAAGTCTGTCTAGCAGCTCTCGGTGACTAACTCTTTTTTATTTGTTTATGAATCTATTTTTTACTGAGGTGTAGAAACAATTTCTGCAAACATCTTCCATAAAAAGGAAAAAAAGTAATTTGTTTTCTACACTACCTTCTGTTCACATTCCGTATATGTAAAGTGAGAATATATAAATATACACCTCAATCAACTCTTAATGTAAACAGACTGAACAGGAAAATCACTCCACAGCTTCCAGCAGATCTCCTGATATGGCTGACCCAACAGAGCACTGGAAACATAAACATCCCTTTTTTAAGTAACATCATAATTACACTTAACTTAAAAAGGAACATTTTAATGAAACACTTGAAAGGTCCAAACTCATTGTGAAGCCCACAGAATTTGGATGCTGATAAAAGCTGCGTGGTCAGAGTGAAGAGGTCAGAGCCAAATGGATGGACTCGGCTATATAGTCCAGGTTGCGGCAGTTGATTGCGCTCACGTTTAGACATCCGCCGGGAAGCAGGTACACCCGTCTCCTGTTTGACAGAAATTCTACTTGCTCACCTAAAAAGGCCAAAAAACAGTCACAAAAAAGCAAAATCATGAAAGCTCATCAGTGTATCAACCTATGTTATTGTCATGTGAAGAAAAGCTCTGTTTAAAACATGAATGCTACATAAAATATATCTTCAGCAGTTAAGTTTTCAAGTTATATTTTTTGAACCAAACTAAAATCACAAACAGCAATTCAATGTAGACTGATCAGGGTTATGGCCTTCGTATAAGCCATATGTGTGCATAATGTGTGCGATTGAATAAGTCCATCAGACACTGATAAACTTTATGAATACATTAAAAAATTGTGTTGCAAATGCCAATTAGCTGTTTCAAAGGATCTTCCAGAGAATCGCGGCAAAGCAAGAGCTGAGAAAACTAATTATGAACATCAGACAGCATTTATGTTGTCCTTGTTCGAGGCTGATGCAGTGAATCATTTGTCCTTCTAGATTGTGAGAAACATAATTCTAAAAAAAAATTGAGAGGAGGGCTGAAACAGTGCTTTTCAGTTTTTACCATTTAACCCTATGCAGCAAAAGAGTCCACCTTGTTGAGTCAGATGGTCCCAGCGACCAGGAGTTCCCAAAAGCCTCAGCTTCTCTCTTAAAATGGCTCTGATCAGCATACACCTTTCAACAATGTGCTTAACCTCTCCCTGCCTGGGGAACACAGTGAGAAAAAAATATATATAATTCAATATCTGCACTATGAAAAATGAGGGTGGAAAGGGGCGTGTATGCATAACATCAAGAGACATACAACACATGTACTGATAAAACAGCAACAGCTAATGTCCGGGCCAAATTCTTCAAATGCCAGATCATTTGCAGCATGTCTCACCACTCAACAAGATGGGCTGAGTTACTGAGCACTGTGGTGACAACATGTGCTCCTCCTACGGATGGCCTGGCCCACAGTGATCTCACTATTTTGTCAGCCTGAGACTGCACGGGCAGCAGGACGGAGTTCTGCTTTAAGACGCACAGGAGGTGTCCAACAGCTTCACCTGGTGAAGGAAACAATATGAGCTCAACGTGAAGAAATCTACAGAATGTCCCAGCAGCAGTGAAGTAACGTTATGCTCTGCTGAAAAGAAATGCTTTGCATCAGTATACACCGCAAGCCTGTCAGGTTTTTCCATTTTTTCTGGTAAATATTCACTGGGTCACAAATGAAAGATTGCAAAGATGCTTTTGGATGCACATGAAGCAGGTTTAGTTGCCACTTTTTTGATTCTTTCTAACTTGTGTTTAAAAGATGAGCGCAGAAAAACAGCACATTTCATTTTCGACATTTCATCCCAGAGCCAATTACGAAGATCAGAGGAGCCCTTTCTAAAAACATGAACTCCCCTGGAAACATGATTTGCAAAAGACTCTAATGAGGACATATGCATTTTTATTTTTCACAGGTACTTTCAGCTGCTCCCTTATTTCCCAAGGGGTTGCCGCAGCAGATGGATCTGCAAGTTTGATTTAGCACAGATTTGAAACCGGATGCAACCCTCCCATTTATCTGAGCGTGGGACCGGCACAAGGAGTACACTAGCTTGTGACCCCCTGCGGCTGTTTTGTTTTTCTCCTCCCTCCTTCACATGTAAGCAAATGTGTTAACCTCTGCATTTTTATGTTTTAGTCAAATTATATTAAAACCAGAAATAAAGTTTAATGTTGCAAACAAGCGCCAACTCTCTCCAAGTGTGAAGGCTGCAAGTCCAACAACAGCAATTTTTTCCCTTTTTTGTTTCTTATTTATTTATATTCTTACTCACTTCTTTAACTCACACAACACGGAGAGGGTGCTCTTCTGACAGGTTAGGTGAAGAAAAAGTCAGGGAATGCAGCAACAATCCCTGGAGCACACTGGATAAATTTGATCTCATGCACTCAGCATAGTAAAGCTTGGCCTTTAAATATTTTTCCTCTCTATGGCTACTGAAGTCTGCCTTTTTCTGATGACGATTATGGTTCAAAGATAAGTAAAGAGGTGCTCTTGTCAATTACCTTGAGTCGGTTCATTCAGAAAAGAAAGAGTTCAAACTGACTTGTATCAGCTCCAGGCAGCGCAGTTGTTTTCTCACCGCAGAGTGCAGTGTTCGTTTGTGCAATAAGCACATTTTGATAGGTGTGGCCCCTTCAGTGCACATACGTTCTCACCATATAGTCCAAAGCAATGGGAAAATGACTGAGCGCAGAGAAGCTCCATTCCCAGCGATGCACAGTGCTGCACAGGCCAAGCATCACGCTCCATGTCTCCACAGCAGAGTGCCTGTGTAGGCAGCAAGAGGAAGGGGAAAAGTCTACGGCTCTGTTGAAAAACAGTGCCAGGAGAGCAAATTAAATTAAGTATGAGTGAAAAGCTGCTTGTCTGATAAAAATAATTTCAGCTTCTGTCGGAGAGCATAAATGCACAAGTTAGTTACCGTAATGAGCCGTGTAATCACAGCCCATTGACTCTGAGAGAGGTCTGCTCCGGTCGGGTAGTGGGCAGACGCTGACAGAACAACAACACTGTGCTCAGGAGCACTCTCCAAATCCTCCAGAAGCCTCTCCAAACAAATGCCCCGCTGCTTGTCATCCCAGTAATAATACTCACGGATCTCTTGGATCCCTGCTGCCTGGAAGATACCAGCCAATGAGTCTGCAGGGAGGATCAAGACAAAACATTATACTGGCTTATTAGATATAAAAGCAGTACCAACCCCTAAAGATCAATGACACTTTTGTCCGCAGCATGTACACTCACAAGAAAAGTATGTGAACCAGGATTTATGAATTAATTACTCAAAAAATGTGGTCTGATCTTCATCTAAGTAATAACTAGTGACCGATGGAGCCTAACTTAATCAGTGTAATACAAGGCAAGCAGTTTCATATCTTTATTAAACACAATGAGTAATCACTCACAGCTCAGACTGAAAAAAGTAAGGCTCGGTTCAGTAACTCGTGGACTCACTTATGGCAGCAAAAGTCGGGGGATTGCTGTAGAGGAATTTGGAACCAATTATCCTTACAAAAAGGTTTCAGGCCATGACACAGCCATTAAGTTGAATGAATTTTATGTCCTTTATTTATGCATCTGCTTTCAATCATTCTCCTGTAAAATTTGACCAGATTCCATTAAAGCTTACATTTTCAATTCTACTTCTGTGACAAAATTACACGGAAAATAATCAAATAACTTAAAAGTCAGCATTTTGGGAAGAAGTGTTTTATGAGTCTATGCTTAACGGCTGGGATGAGGTTTTGGTGTTGGAGTGTTCCTCCAAAGACAGCATATTTTGGCTCATCTGTCCATTGAACATTGTCGCAAGTGTTGTGGATCATCTTAGATGACTGTGGTTTTATGTTACCACCATTATTACTCACTATTTTTCTTATTTTTCACAATTAAATAAAGATATAAGTTACAGAGCTCCATGCGGGCATTTTTCTGTGACAGATATTTATCTAATGATGTGGAATCCTTGACATTTTGTCTCCTTTATGTATTCATTTTCAAAATCTTGTGTTGCTATGGAAACAGCGCTGATTGTTTACAAGACATACTCTTTTGTAATTATTGGTGTGTGTGTGTGTATATATATATATATATATATATATATATATATATATATATATAAAATAAAGCCCTACACCCCGGCCCAGAAGAAGATACATAAGATTTGTTTTGAACTGTGTATTATGCAAGGCAACTTTAGAAGAGTCCAAAAATACAATTATGTAACTGGAAATGGGCATAATTGTTCCACTTTAAATGTTGTTCAGTAGAAGCGGTTTTTTATTTACCATCACAGGGGGAAGAGAGGTAAACCGGGCCACACCAGTCAGCACTGAGATCGTACCAGCACCTCAAGAGTTCAGCTCCAAGACGAACAGCAGCAGTAAAACCAGGAGTTTGGACACCTAACACCTGCAGCGAAAGCCAGGAAATACCAGCAGCAGAGTTTTTTGATATAAATGATGTTTGCTTGCTGATCTTCTATTGATTTATTCTGCAGTTACTTATAGTAACTGCAAATAACGTCTTTCCGAGTAATGACGGTGCTGACTGACTGCATGATCAGTCCTAGTTTTTGTTTTGTGCAAAACGAGGTTCAAATGAGTTGAGCTGTCTGTGTGTAGCTGACATTACCTGGTTCTCCACTATAGCCCTAGAATGCTTCCCAAGGGCAACTTCTGTGGCTTTCCTGGTGAATTCTCTCAGTCCAAGAGAAGAGGGATACTCAGGATGAAGAGTGGGATCAGTGCTCAACTGCTGCTTTATTTTTCCAACCAGACGCAATTCAAAGGGTTTTCCCTCCTCGCTGTAATACTCTGCAAAAACATGTATTGCAAAGAACAGAATATATTTAATCTGACACAAAAATACAACGCACCCTCAGAGCCGAAAAACTGAAATTAAAATCCCTTTAATAATTGTGTTGCCTTCTAACAAGTGGCAACAAAGAGTTAAAATGTTTAAACAAGTGCAGTAGTATCTTAAGGTACAGATCATTTACTTGCAACATGCTCACGTAATTGTGGCCTTAGCAGCTATTGCACTGTATGCGTCAGCAAAGGCTGAGAAAATGAGGTACAAAGCGAGGCAAGAACTGAGTTTCTAGCAGCTATTTCAAGAAGGCTCACGCAGAGCTTCAGCTGCTCTCTATTAGGCTCAAAGTAGCTGATTAAAGTGGGAGCAAATGCAACCTCCAGGCTTTAAAAAGCCCCTTCAAACACCCACTGGTACAATCTCATGAATGCTTCCTGTTTTTAGCATTGACACAAAATATAAATGTTAAAGGCCATGACTGGCAATTAATGATTTTACTGAAAATCTTAATGTACTGCTCACCGGGCTTTCTATAAAGATATGAGTATACAGTGTCTGATGCACTGAATATCTTCTTCGGTGTATCTTATTACATTGAATAAGATACTGACTGGTGACCGGCGAACCAGTCCTCTGCTCAGATTAGAATCTGAGGAGGCTACACGGTGTATATAGCAGTATTTTTCTTTCTGCTCACATATTGCCTGCCATAATGCGGCTCACGTATTTCCAGCTACATTGCAGAACTGTGGAGGCACATTACATTATATGTGCAATAAAGCAAGCCTGTAACAAAAAACAAAACAAAAACAACAAAAATAATAATAATAAAAGCACCTATATTAGCATATGTTGTCTGTGTTAAATTATAACAGATGTACTTCACTAAATTCACATTTAAAAATCAAACTGCACTTTGTGGATAAAAGTTATATATCTAAGTTTATTTATTTAAAAAGTAAGTATAAGTAAGTAAATATGTCATACAATGTCTGCATCTTTGATCTTCACATCTGTCGATAGCTGTTGTCTATATTAATGTAAGTTTGCTAAGTTTGGATCTGACTCATGAGATCATCAGTGCATTTGAGTAAAGTGTACGTTTGTAGTTAATGTAGTTACCACTAGAATAGTGGTTTAAAAAAACCTGCGGTATTTTTTTTAGGGGGGGGGGGGAGGAGAGATTACTAACTACATAGAGATGACATAAGCATTTTTTAAAATTACATTAAAATTAAATTTGAAGTTGCACAACATTGTTTCTGTTTGAGTTATATTATCTATCTATCTATCTATATATATAACGTGATAAGACTCACCTCTGCCTGCCAGATCAACTTTCCTGGCCTGGGTATCTCTGGCGAAGGCGGATAACAACCTTGTTTCGGGACTCACTGGTGCGTTGAGCGTATTGGTAAACAGTGGGCATTGACCTCCTGGGTCTCCATTTTGGCTGACCCCTTTTTCATCAGGGCTGCTGCCGGGTCGGCTCATCTCGGAGGCGGTCAGACAACTCAGACCGGCGGGAGCTGCGAACCTTTTGTTTGGGCACTGTTGCCAAGCTACAGCACATATTTGGATTCTGTGGCCCAGGCAACGGGGATGGATGAGTTTTGTCGCTCCCTAATGTGTGGCTCCGGTGAGTTTACTTTTGCCCTGACGGTAAGCCATCAAAGCCACTGGAAAAAGAAAGGATGAGCTATTATCAGTGAAGACCCAGATGCATCTTTAGCTTCTAACACCGACAACACGCTAGTCTAAAGCTCAGCTTTGTGTCCTTATTAAGGCTTGTTTGGGAGCTTGGCCCGTAGCCGCCATAAATTAGCCCTATTGCAATACACAAAAAAAAACAACGAAGAAGTAAGCAAGAGGCTTGCTCATTCATTGTACAAGAGTGTTCTGTGTCGGTCATATATATCTGCAGATGAGGCTATTTCCTGCATCCATGGCTTCCACTCATCCATTTCTTATATGTTTACTCAAATGCATTCATTTGATGACATTTATCCCACTATCATTTTCACAGATCAGACTAGTCTTAATGGTGGAGTTCATGTGTAATGTGAATTCATGAGAAATTAAAGTTCCATGTACAATTTTCCTCCTTGGAAACCAACTGAAATCCAGCGTGCAGTGTAAATCTCTTCAGGCTATTACTGTGCTCCTGCATAATACTGCTGGGAAATAGTGGTTTCCTTCCAGGCAGCGAACTAAGGAAAGAAAGCCATTTCCAGGGGATAAAGAGGTAGCAGTGAATATTGCATTAAATGAAATTGCAGAATCAAAGTAAACATCTGATGGAGGTGATAAGTGAGCCTGGCTTTGTAGTTCACTTTATGAAGCTGGAAATCACAGATAACTGCACTAGATGGCAGTAGATGGCCAAATCAGCCATCAACTCTTGTCAACTGGTTGACTTGGAGTTAAAGATGCTCTTGTCCAGCCTGTCCAGTCCTGGTTTTTATAGATTACATGACAACAACTTTCTTTTTTTTCCAGGAAAGAAATAGAAAAAGATTCCAAAAATGTAAGCTTTAGGTGGGGAATTGGATTCTGGTCTTTTCACACGGCTGTTAAATATTTTTATCCTTGCCCCGTTTTTTAAAAAACTCATTTATCTTTGTGTGGTTCTCACACAAAACACATCGGTACAGTCATTTTATCCCAGGGAATGACAACAAAAATTCTACCTTTGACTTTGTCATTTGCTGGATATTTGAGCCTCCGGGTGTTATTGTTGAAGTTGGAATATTTCTGTGAAGTCAAATTGTTTCTGAATGCCGAGTTGGCCTCTGAAGCAAAAACGAACACACAGATAAAAGAAAGAAAATGTGACAGAGAAAGACATTTAGAAAGAAAGAAAACCCGACAACACTGTTGACTCCAACTCTGGGAAAAATATCTGGATTCTTAAATCTACTCCCGTCAAGAGGCTGTTAGTGAGAAAGGAAACGACACGTTAGAAGAAGCTCGGCTTGTGCCTTGATCACGCTCCCACGTTGTCAGGAAGAGTTCACGATAGTTTATTAAATTAAAGATGCAGCAGACACAATTAGATTTAAGAAACCTTATCTGGTGACTATTGATGTCCAAGCTTAGTGTCAAAGGTTTTTATTTTGTTTTGTTTTTTCATTTATCTGAAGCAGGTTCTAAAAATATCCTGAAGAAAACTGAGCTACACGTCTCAGACACTGGCTGTGGACTTACATGTGTAATTGAGAGTGAAAGTCATTTAAACTTCCAAGCAGATCCAAGACTGCCTCAGTCACATTTAATAGTAAAAGCAGAAGAAAAAAGAGGATTTTATTGAATTCATTTTCTTATGTAGAATATTTTCCTAATCAGATGTTCCGCCTCTGTTTTTATAGTCTTTTTGTTTCCTGTACTTGTATCTTATCAAACCCTCCCAGTCGTACTTTAAGTGGTGGCTTTTCCTTGAAAACTTTAGGATTGATTTCGGTCTGATACCACTCATGGAAAACATTGGAACAGGAATCAGCTGATAGGAATGTGGCTTCAGACAGGGCCATTATTTCCATTCTGAGTTGTTGTGTGGCTTTTTTTTTCTCTCTCCTAATGATATTTTTGGTAGTCACACTGCCCGTCTGGCAGGGCTAATGTCAGTTTTGGCTTATTTTCAAATGTCTTACATTCTGCTCTTGGTTTATTTTTAAAGTCCCAAATCTTGTAAATTCCTCTCATAACACGGAGATATTGCCCGCTCAAACAGTAGCCAAAGCCAGAGATGACAGTGGTTTAGATAGTGGGAGGATTACTTAAAATAACATTTCAATAATGCATTGTTTAGATTTGTGTCTTGAGCTCACATCAACAGTAGTTTTACTTGCTCAGTGTTGTGGAACATGGAGTGAAGGTCGGGACCCTCAGGGCCTCCCAAGATAAATCCGAGGGGCCATAAGTAGATCAAAGGGTTAGGAAAAGGGGAACAAATATTCCTGTTCACAAAGCTGTTTATTTTTTCTGACTTTTTTTCCTTTTTTTTCTTGTGAAAGTACTTAAAGTACTACACTTTCACATCTACAGCATCCCAAAAAAACCCACTTCAAATGAAGCCACCTATGAAGGACAAAAATAATTAAATCCCTCTTAAGTCATTGTCTGTGACGGTTACATACAGCAAAAGTTAATAATAATAATTATTATATTGTTACAGTCATTTGTTGTTTGCTTCCAGAATGGTGAGTTTGCACACACAGCACGCATGACCAATGTTACACAGTTTTAAAATACTTTATTTTTCAATGCAACAGATGATGTTATGTAAAATCACACCACAAGGTGCCTTATGACAATGAAGTAATACATAATGTGGGCAGAAGGTTTTCTGTGCGTGTGGACATTTCAGGGGACGGTGTTGGGCTTATACTGTGGCCACAAGCCAAAGAAAATAAACTAGCAGCACGGCATGTTGCATATGCTGCTGTGTTTACCTGCAGTTCGTAATACTGTACCTTGTACAAGGACATACCCACAAAAAGATTCTAGACAGCGTGATGTTTGAGGCATCCAGACGTAAGGTTCTGTCATCCATTATTCGTAGCCATGGCACAACTTAACATAGACATGGGCTTTTAAATCCCAGTTTCACTGTTGTGTGCATACAGACTCAAAATAGAAACATTAAGAATTTAAACCGAGACAAAAATGGAGTATTTCTATTCATAGTTCTTTGGTTAAGCTGATATTAAACTGTAAGGTTTTTGTAAAGAAAATGTTCCTACAGTGGAGACAGGCTTGCCAGAATGATCGCTTAGTCGAGTTTGCTACAGATTCAGTGTATCGTCATTACATAACTTACCAGATAATATACTGTACAAAAATTCGTTTATACTGACATTTTTGAAACCACAAGCCACGTGACACTGTGTCCATGTACTGGAATGCATTTCAGTGTTGATGTCAAACACTGTCAGTCTGGAGCAGAGAGCCTTTTTCCAAACAACACGTAGAGGACTCTGGGAGGTTCATCCGTGATGCCACCTAATCTCGGCTGTACGCCAACAAACAAACAACAACAACAACAACAACAAAAACAGTCACAGTGTTCCCATTCAGACCGAATCATCTGTTTCTCCACAGTCAATCCAGTCATGTCTTTGGGGCTAGCTTCATTCTGCTGTGCTTTTCAGGGTTTGGGATTGAACTTTTCTGTAGCTTTTCTTTGCTGTTTGGTCTCAGACTTTGCAGAAATCACAGTAACAGCTGGAAACGCAGTTCGCTTCAGTAGGTTGACATTTCACTCTTCATCTGTCCTGTTCCTGCAACGTGAATCTGAAAACAGATGGATATATTAGCATCCAGCGTTTCCGTGACAAAATCCATACCTATTGGTAAAATAGCATCGCATGGCATTTTGTTGTTTTAGGCTGTCTCTTAGTAATGAGAATAAAATGTCTAAATATGCCGCACCTGGGATTATGTCACTTGCATATTTTCGATTTTCATTTTGTTTGCTTTAAATAGAAGACTTATCTGTATTGAAAAGTACCTGATATTCGAGACCAGATTACTATCGTGTCGTGAATCGCCTCATATTTTTGACTTGTGCAGCCATGTGTTATGTGACCGTGCAAACTGAGCTTTTCTCTGTGTGTTTCTGTATGACTTGTTGGTTTGTGTTGGTCTCGCCCTGCACACCATTTTAGTTTTGATCAGATAAAGAAGGACTTGGAGACAGCAGCCGCTGTTTGTTGTCTTACAGGTTATTTGTAAGTATCTCGGTGTTTTCGTGTTCATTGATATCATCGCTGCACCTCTTCCCTTTTATTTATTTTTTCTTCCTAATTACAGAAAGTTACTGCATAGTTGCCCTCATCATTCTGTCCTTTGTGAAACTTCTTTTCCCTTAAACAAGACAGGAATTCTGATGCTATCACTTCAGCTGTACATGTCTCCACAGGAAGACATAATCTACCTTCCACTGGAAGCTGCACAGAAATACGAATGCTTATAGGGAAGAAAACAGCTACCATACAGTTTACAATGTGGTTTCATCAGAACTCCTTTCTTACATTATGTACTGCTGGAAAGTGACATCACTGTTGTCTACTTTGTGTCTTGTGGCTTCAGTGTGCGGTATTTGGATGGTTTAACCCCTTGAGCCTCAGTTGATTATTTGACACTTCTACATTTAAAAAACATCTGCACTGTAGTCGGCATCAGCTGCAAAACCGTAAAGCCAAGATAAGCAGTCTTGCGCTTTATGGATAAGAGACGCTTAGAAGAATTTTGAATGCAATAGGTCTCCTTTTTCCTTATCACCAGTCCAGATTGAACTTGAGAAACCTTCATGGTTTTTAAGCTTTTTTTTTTTTTTCGTCTTTATGCATCTTTCCACCTGGAACCTGGTACACAGGACTCTGGGGTCAAAAGGAGTTAATGGGAAGAAACTCCAAGAATAATAGAGCCAAAGAGCTATACTTAAGTCAGTTATTTTGAATTACAAAACCACAGATATGTGTGCAGATATTGTGTAGCCTCCATTAAAGCTAAAGTAGCCTCTGCTCATCATTAGTTAGGAAAAATCCATTCATCATATCTGACGTGTGTGTTTGCCGAATCTGAAGCTGTCTTTATATAGCAGGATGCGATTCACTGTTAAATGCAAATAGAAAGTCCTTAGTTAGTTGTGCAGTTTATGACTTTCAGTTTCTACTAAATGTAACAATGACAGTTTTGT